TAAAATATTAATTTATTTTAAAAACCATAGCATTTTGTTTAACACAAAACAAGATAATATAGTCGAAGAGGTGTCCTTTAACGGGATAGAATACAGATGTAAACAACCAGGTGATTTAGATCCCTTCTGTTTACATGCATATGTATCACTGCTCATATCAGAAATGGAGTAGGTGTTCTTAAAACTTAAACAACTCATTTAGTTAAACTATTTTAGTTTAAGGTATATTCCTCTTTAAGCTCTCCCTGGCAACTTATAGTGCACACTTCAGGGCCACAAAGCTACAAATGTACAGTTCATTTGAATTGATGACTTTTGTTGCAAGTTTAATAGGCTATAAATGTAGCAGTATTAATAAGCGTAGTAAATATTCATAGTATAAACAGGCCCCAAAGCCCTAGGCTATTCCTGGTTTGAATGCGTAGTTGTGTGCCCCAAGGGTACTAAATTTTATGGTACATACTCAATTAGACTGCATACTTACTAAGAGTATATTACTGAGGCTCATCAATCGAGAAACTGCGGCATTTAACACGTGATACTTTGCAAAGCATTTTGTTACCTGGTCACATAAAAAACAGGTAATTAATTGCTTAAAATTTCCATATATAGAGTTTATTTTTTATAAAAAAAACAAAACAAAAAAGACTGGTATGAGCAATCAGTCACAAATTGTGTAAAGGGCACACTCCACCCCAAGGATATCACCTCAACCTATACATACACATTATGCGCAATTACACATGTGTGCACACTGAGGTGATATTAAAGTGGTAAGTTAAATTATTTATAACTTTCACACACTTCCCCCTCTGCCTTCCTCAGGATTTAAATTTAACACTCCAAACCTTGAACAGCTTCAATCAACAATCATTTTATCTTTAAAATCATGATATCATTAAATCAACTCCCCAGAGAGTTTTCTCTGTTCTTCCCCTAGGTATGAATTTCCTCCCAAAATCCAGTAGCCCAGTGCTTATGACAGATGAGAAATGTGTGACAACTCTTCATACATAAAATGACCAAAATTTTAAAGTCTGTTTAAAGTACTGAAAGATCCCAGGACCTGTAATCTAAGTCAGGGTATGTTTCTATGTATATATATCCCCACCCCCACCCCCACCTTCAAGTACATTTTAAATGCGTTTATAGCTTCCTCTGACCCGTATACAATTGAATACATAGTAACTATGGCATATGACTTTAACATAAAATGAGGTAAAAAAATCATCTTAATAAAAGGTTTTAAGCTTTCTAAAATATGTATTGTAATGTGTAAGGGACATAATAATGTGAAGTGCAGTAAAAGAATTACTGGCACCTGTCTGGAATTAACTGCATAACTTTCCTGAAGCTTTGCTACTTGTGAGTTTGGGCTGACTGCATAATAGAACCTGAGTGTGTTACCATGTACATGCATTCATACTGGAAAACCTTGCTTATCCAAACCTCACTTATCTGCAAAGCCATAATTCCCTGGGGATTTTAAGCAACTGAAATCACTTGCAATTATGCATTTTCATTCTCCTTTGCTTTATGGAAAAAATATTTTCAAAATAGTTTTGGATGGGGCAACACTTTTTATTATCAAAAAGAATCACCCACACTGCTGGTACACGATATGAACAATAATGGCAAGCTATTTAATCACTTTCAAAGGATGCAAATGCTTCTTTTACCTCAGAGATCGTAAGGTTCTTGTTCTCCCAGATCTTCCTAGCTTCTGCCTTGTCCTTTTTACCCAGTAGCTCAGGGTTGGGCAGAGTCCCAGAAGCTCTGGCTTTAATAAGCTTGGTTGCTAGAGACCAAAGGCGTATCTGCCATCTCTGAACACCAGGGATAGCATCAGCTGAGTTTAATAAAAGATTTCAGAGAGATTTCAGTTATGAAATCAAGCCAAAATGCCAAAGAGAAAGAAAGGAAAAATGGTACCATAAACTACATGCCATTTCATGTTCATAGGGCAATTCCATATTGCATGTAAGTTCTTGGTGCAATGAAATATACATTTAAAAAAATGAGACTGCTTTAATGGAAAAAAGAATGTAATTGTTTAATATTTTCAATATAGTGATATCCTCCGTTAAACATATCCTAAACGTGTAAAAATAATCCCTTGACAGGTAAGTGTTAGAAGAGATTCACTTTACATGTTAATTACTTTGGAAAATAGGGAGTTTTTTTTCAAGATGCTTTCATCAGCAAGAAATTCTGTAATAAGGATGTCTTTTTTAAACTTTGATTTAAGTGATGAGAAAAACACATATAGACACCAGTTTTTCAGTGGTACAGTGGTTACCATGGTAATGAAACACATAGCCAGATTTTTGGACCAGCTTGTTGACACCCAGCTCATTTTAAGACATAAGAACTGCAAAAGAGGCCATAAACTACCTTTATGCCATCCCTGGTCCTCTGGCTACCCATCTAGCCTCCTGGCTGCTCCTGCAGCTGGGGACTGCAATCCCAGTGGGACTGCAATCCCTGTCACCTATTTATACCTGGGAAGGACAGAATGAGAGGCCTAGGAGTTGCAATGCCACTATTAGTCCCCATGCTGACAGGATCTCCAAGTGGCTAGTTATAGCTGATGTAAAGCTGCTTGCACCAGGGTACAGTGCTAAATAGCCTTAATGAGCTGTAGGATTCTAGTGACTGCTTAATATTATGCAGTAGTCTCTCACAAATAAGTCACTTGTTTATCTGTGTCTTTTTTTTAGGATTTGTTATTATAAAGAAACACAGGCTTCAACCTGTGCTCACAGAAGGCTTATAAAATGATTTATTTTACCTTTTTCTTCTTAAAAATTCTTTGCAGCGGTGAGCAACTATCATAATTATGTTCAATTTTCTGCACCATTTTCTCAATAACAGGTGACTCAGGGAAACTTATCTTTGTGCTTCTCAAATTGAGCAAAAGAAAAGGCTTGTTTGAATAACTAAATGCATTTTTCCTAGCATTCCAGTAGATGTCTATGACTACAATTATGAAAGAACATGTATAATAGAAACACCAAACTATTAATTTCTGACTAACACCTTCTCTTTGCATATCTCAAAGAAATTTAAATTAGGGATAAATTCCATTTTTCTCATTGTAAGACAACAAAACTATGGGAAAAAAGACTGACACAATAGATGAGTCACTGATAGCATGTCTATACCACATGAGTACTGAAGTGAGGCAACTGCCTCACTGACGTGTCCCGAGCAGTGTTGATGTGAAATCTGCACTTGGAGCCTGACTGCAAAAAAACTACTAACAGAGCAAGGTATTACCAAATGTAAGTGGCAGCAGAATCTGGTCTTTTGAGAGACAGGAAGAGAATTTGGTTCCTACCTCCTAATCTTGTACTTTTATGATCATATTGTTATAAGGAATTAGCATGATAAAAACCATAGCATCATACCCTAATTATGTAATTAGAAAAGAAATGTGACCCTTGGATAAAGACCAAGCAAAAAATGTAATGAAGAAAGCAGGACAAAGTGAAACTTTAACAACAGTGTAACAATGTGGCTGGGCACCTGGGGCAGCTGCCACACCACTAGTGCAACTGTGAGGTTGTGGCAGCAACCATTTTTTTTATTACCCTCTAGGGTTGCCCTACCATAGTTCAGCTACTGTACCTTAAAGACTAACTTGTTCAAAAAGGCAAGAGCTTTTGTAAGATACAGTGTACTTCATCAGAAGACAAGCCTGTCCTGGCTTACAGACAACCCCCCAACTCCTGATGATATCTCTCCAGCAATAGACTACCTAACTCCTTTCTCACTCCTTTCTCTCCTGTTTCTGGCCCAACTGCCTGCCTTCTTGTCTGCCATGCCTTAATGATATCTAATTAAGATGTTAATTAGGCAGGAGGCTGCTCATTTCTTGCCCTGATGCCAGGGGGAGCTTTCTGCGGCTCTGTTCCTCCCCTACACCGCAGTCCAAACCTCACAGATGGCATCAACAGTTCTTATCATCACCGGCCACACACTGGGCCCCAGAATCCTTCAATCCAGATCCCCAACTACATTCCCTCCAATCAGGCGGCCTACTCTGCCCTCATTCTGGGCTGCCTAGCTCCCTGAACTGTTTCCCCTCTCGGGCGTGGTCCCCCTGGGACCTTTGGCCATACAGAAACCTCCACAATCTCTCTAGGTTACTTGTTTCAGTGTTTTACTACCCTCCTAGTGAGAAAGTTTTTCCTAATATCTAACCCTAAACGGCCCTTACTTCAACTTGAGACTTTTCCTCCTTGTTCTGTTATCTGCCACCACTGAGAACAGTCTAGCTCCATTCCCTTTGGAACCACTCTTCAGGTCGTTAAAGGCTGCTATTAAATCCCCTCAATCTTCTCTTCTCTATATTAAATAAGCCCAGTTCCTTCAGCCTTTCCTCATAAGTCATGTACCCCTGCTCACTAACCATTTTCATTGCCCTCTATTGAACACTCTCCAATTTGTCCACATCCTTTCTGAAGTGGGGGGACCAAAACTGGACACAGTACTCCAGATGTGGCCTCACCACTGCTGAATAGAGAGGAATTATCACTTCCCTTGATTTGCTGGCAACATTCCTACCAATGCAGCCCAGGATGCTGTTAGCCTTCTTGGCAACGAGGGCACATTGTTGGCTCATATTCAGCTTATTGTCTACTTTAACCTCCAGGTCCTTTTCTGCAGAGCTGCTGCCTAGCCAGTCAGTCCTCAGCCTGTAGTTGTGCATACAATTGTTCAGTCCTAAGTGCAGGACTTTGCATATGTCATTATTGAACCTCATGAGATCCAATCTTACAATGTTTTCCAAGTAACTCGCTACTTAAGAATAAATTATTGCCAGAGGAAACAAGTATTTTCCTTATACCTGATCTTAGCTTTTAAGAGGTACAGGAAGGGAAGTAGTAAGGGAGGTGAAGAGGTACAGGAACGGAAGTAGTAAGGGAGGTGCTTCCTTAACAAGTCTGTAGTCTAATTAATAGGCTTGTGAAATTGACCTTTTTTCTCAATTCAGAAAAGAAACCTATAATCCAGTTCTGAACTGTTACTATCTTCATGAACTGCAAAACTCCCAGTTCAAATAAGTTGGATGGAGGGAAAAGACTGACAAGAGGATATTTAGGTTCCCTGCTTCTGCTCCCATTTCCCTCAGGCTAAGTACAGACAGTCAAAAAGTCTAAGGCTGAACTGATTCAATCTTTGCAGATTAGTCTAAACTTCGTAGATTGAACCGATAAAAAAGTGAACAGACATTCAGTTTTGATTCCAGAAATACAGCCATGTGCCTGCAATGCAGAAGCTGGTGGGTGCTAAAGCACATCTCCCTGCTCAGATGGAGCAGACAACTTGGGCCAAGGCTAGCCCATCCTGGGAGGGAGGGTTTGTAGGGGAGGTTCAAAGCATCCTGGGATGCTGGGGGGCTACAAGTTAACTTGAATCTGGGAATCTGGGACAGAAGGTCAATAAACCAGTTAAGTCTGATACTACATCCATCCAGGTTTATCTTAAATTGCTTTTGGCCATTTTGAAAGCAATTTACGTGCATTGAACTTCTGTTGTGTTACAGATTTGAACCAGTTTCCAATCATTTATACTGGTTGGTTTAGGTTTAATTTCTGTCCCTAGCCTCAGTGTACAGGGAACCTTCATTAAAAAGAAAAAAAAGTGCTGTAGACTTCTCTCTGCCTATGTCCATTATTCCACTGCAAGTAGCAACTAAGCAAAATTGTTGTTGGTTCTTATTTTCCAAAGCCAAAGACAATTGATATTAAAATGTTCTATCTGATTTTGCTACTGTATTTACTTGATTCTAAGATGACACTCCAAGAATTAGATTTAATACAAGAAAAACTTACAAGTTGGTTAAAATTTTCCATGTACAAAATCTAATTATTGGAGGGTTGCCTTTAATTCATCCCCCCTACCGCTGCAAGGGAGAGGGCAGGTTGTATGAGACAGTCAAGCAGCTTGTCCCTTGCTTGTGCCTGCCCTCCACTTCCTCCCCACTCTGCACCTTGCTTTTCTCCTAGTCTCTGCCCTCCCCTCTCCCTAGCCTCTTTCTGTGTAGCAGTCATGCAGGCTACATGTTGGTGCTACAGGCCGGGCTGTGGGTGTGCTCAGTGTTGGGTGGAGGGAAGATAGGCAGAAGAGGCAGCAAGGAGGAGAGGGTGGGGTGCAGAGATGTGGGGGATGGGAGGAGGGGGGGGAAACAGCAGCTGCGGCTATAGCCAAGCCCCAGATAGAGGCTTAAGCCCGAGCCACAGCAGCTGCCTGCCCCACCACCACCCTCATACGGGATTCTAAGACAAGGGGCTTTCCCCCCCACCCCTTGTATTAAATGGGGAAAAAACGTTCATTTTAGAATAGAGTAAATATGGTACATCATCTTCTTACATTTACTCCAGAAAAGAATAGCAAGGAGCAGTGGCTCTACATCTAAAGGAATTATTAGTCTTTTCAGCTACTGAAAGAGCCTGTGAGGCAGAAGACAGAACTGCTAAAGAAATGGTAGATTAACGTCAAATATCCTGTGCTTTATCTGAACATAATGATATGAGTCTTAATATTGCCTCACATTACATACCCTATGCAGGAGACCAGCAAGGTAATATTATTAATGGAAAAGATTCTTTAGTGTGGTGGAAGCCTCTCCAATGTAAAAACCATTTTTTCCATAGGAAGACCAAAAAGAATAGCCTAAATTTTGATTACATGCAAAATTGGAAGATGTCATGATCAGTAATTAATTAATCCTTTAAAAGTCAGCCAGATGCTCCTATTTACCTGTTCTTCTAATAGAAAAACAAGGAATATTTAATGAAATAGAAAGGAAACAGATAAAAAGGTAACACGGAAATATTTTTTAAAACATGGTATATTAAACTGGTAGAACACTGCTACAAGGAATTGGAACAAAGAAGTTAGTAGGATTCAGAAAAGAATTTCAATAGGTATTTGGAACATCCATAATTATATCAGAAAGGCTCAATAGTTTGTTTGGGTTTTTTTTAGAAGTAATATATACCAACATGTTTTAGGACATAAGTCAGCTACTAACCACAGGAAGGTTTAAAGAATTTGTCTGTTATGGCCACTGCTAGAGAGCGCAATCCCAGATGGATTTCTGGTCTCATTTGCTATATTTCTAGTATTAAGGATAAATAAAACATAAATAAATAAAAATACCTTTATCTAAACAAAGACCACCTTTCTTTAGAGACAAACATTGAGATCTTCCCATTAGATCAGATTTTCACATTCAACTGACAATAAACTAAATTTCAAGACACAATACATTAAAAGGAAGAACAAACTGAAATAGCACAACTTACTTTTAATATCCCATAAGATGTCTTGTTCTGGAGAGGCTGCAAAAAGGATGAAGAGTCGCATAGTATCAATGCCATACAGCTGGACAAATTTCTCAGGATCTATCCCATTGTGCTTGGATTTACTCATTTTTTCCCATGTGACCTGCACCTTCTCTTTAGTTTTTACGTGAACTGGTCCCGTCTCTAAACATACAGAACACATTCAGTAATTCAACTTCATGTTGTTCCCTAAACATCTGAAATAGCAAAAATTAACATCAAATCCGTCTTTGGTGTTCTTCAGGAGTTTAAAAGATAAATACCTATTAAAGAAGGAAACAAGTCCCTTCCCTACTTTAAGATTTTAACTCAAATGACATCATTTAGGGGGCAGGCGCACATGACTGAGCAGGGACCGGATCAGCCCATCCGCCAGGACCCCCTCAGGCCCCAAGGGAGGCGTACCCAGGCCTAGGGTCAGTGAGGACCTAGTCAGGGAAGTTCTAGAGGGACTGGACGTATTTAAATCAGCTGGTCCTGACTATCTCCACCCCAGGGTGCTGAGGGAATTGGCAGAGGTCATTGCGGGACCCCTGGCATGGCTTTATGAGCACTTGTAGTGCTCTGGTGTGGTGCCAGATGACTGGAAAAGGGCCAATGTGGTCCCCATTTTCAAAAAAGGACCCAGGAAACAATAGGCCAGTTAGTCTTACCTCGATCCTGGGCAACCTTTTTGAGAGAATTATCCTGGCACATGTCCACGAGGGGCCAGCAGGGGAGGTTATGCTTAGGGGCAACCAACATGGGTTCATTCGAGGCAGGTCCTATCAGACCAACCTGGTGGCCTTCAATGACCAGGTCACAAAATCCTTAGACGCAGGTGTAGCAGTGGACGTAGTCTTTCTGGACTTTAGGAAGGCCTTCGACACTGTCTCTCACCCCATTCTCATTAAAAAACTAGGGGACTGTGGCGTCAACACCTACACAATAAAATGCGTCACTAACTGGTTGGAGGGCCGCACTGAGAGAGTGGTGGTGTATGGGTCATTTTCAACCTGGAGGGATGTGGGCAGTGGGGTCCCCCAGGGCTCAGTCCTCAGACCCGCACTGTTCAACATCTTCATCAGTGACTTGGACAAGCACCCAGTTCAAATTCGCAGATGACACTAAGATGTGGGGGGAAGTAGGCATGCTAGAAGAGAGGAATAGGCTGCAATTGGACCTAGACAGGTTACAGAGGTAGGCAGATGAAAACAAGATTGGTTTCAACACTGACAAGTGCAAGGTGCTG